TATTATAATTTGGGTTGAAAAAAAAAAGTGAAGTAATAGTAATAAGGAAGGAAGGGAAAAGCTGGTTTAAAGTAAGTAAAGTGAATAATTGTGAGTAATTGTAAAGTAGTTATAAGTAATCATGAATTATCTGTTGTGAATTAATTGAATTAATCTATCGTGAATTTTATATATATATATATATATCATTCGTGAATTTATATATCATTCACGAATCATTCATTATGATTCTAATGCCATTTTCAAAATTTCACATCGTCTCTCTAAAACTTTTAGTACTTCTTCCACTTGTTTTTTAGACATTTGATCAACTAAAGTTTTAAATTTTGTTTCATCACTATCATCAAATGATTGATGTATATAACCAGGAATTGCTGAATTTGGATTATGTTCATCCATCATTTCATCATGATGATGATGTTGTTGTAATTGTTGAAGTTGACGACGTTGTTCTTCTAATAACATTTGTTCTCTTTGACATGTAGCTGCCGTAGCTAAAGTTAAAAGTGCTGGTGCCATAAGACTAGGTGACATAGTCATAGGTGCTATAGGTCTTTGATTTGGAAGAATCGTATGTAATGTTATAGGTCCTTTGGGTGAATAATTTGTTCCTGAATATGATGATGAAGTTTCTGTACTTTCTTCATTAGAATGTCCTTCTTCAATATGTCCATATTTATTCCAATCACGACGTCTACGTTGAATTTTAGATTTACGCATAGCGATCGGTCGATCTCTATTATGTAATTTAGCATATAATCCACATGCGTTACAAAGTGGTTGTCCTTTATCATTCTTTCTCCATAAAGGTGTTTGGGTTTGACCACAATTAGCACATTGAATTTGTATATCTGCCATAGCTGCAATTGTTGTTGGTGTTATCGTCGTCGTCGTCGTCGTTGTTGTTGTATTATTATTATGAGTTCCGGTTGTATTATGTGTCCCGGTTGTCATTGAAGATGATAATCCCGTTGTATATGTTCCAGTCGTCCCAACTGTCGTCGTCGTCGATGATGAATTTGGTGGTGGCGGTAATGTTGCAGGTGATATAATAGGTGATGGTATAGGTGTGGTCGTTTGTAGTACGGGAGGAGATAAAGAAATTAAGTTTGATGAAAGTTCATTATTATTATTATTATTATTATTATTATTATTATTATTATTATTATCATTATTATTATTATTATTATTATTATTAT